GGCCACTGCCAGATGTCAGCCCAAAAGTCCAGATCCCAGGTCTATGTCAAGACACAGAACTGTAACCTGACACCTGCAGACAGAAGTGACCTCCCAGTCCCTTTGCGTGACACGTTCCTGCTGCTGCCCTATCAAGTGCAGAGACAGAAGTGACCTCACAGTCCCTTTCACAGTCACATTCCTGCTGCTGGGGCAGGAGATGCTGAGGCAGAGCTGAGCTCTTTAGAGAATTCCCGTCTATCTCCTCTTTGTGGCCCACAGGCTGATCAGATCCATGGCCCCTCACTATCAGCTTTGTATGCCATGTGACTGCAGAGCAACCTCATGGTTCCTACCCTGCATCATGGGCCAAGCACCTTAAGTGGTTCAGATAAGGGCCAAGCACCTTAAGTGCTTCAGATAAGGGTTAGGAAAAGGGTTGGATGTGAAGAAGTGAATGCAAAGGAATCAGGGCTTTGATTGTTAGCCATCCATGTATGAGGTTAGGGACTAGGGCTCAGCTTTCTGTGATAGAGATTAATCAAATGTTTAGTGGAAGGGTTTGGTGTTTGGCTTGTGGTGTCAGGTCTGTGGTTAGGGTACGTGCAAGTTCTTTGGTTTTGTTTAGGTCTGCAAGAAGTCTAGGGCTAAATAGAGTGTGTTAATCATAGTGTTAAGGGCAGGGGTCACGGTGAAGAAGAGAGTAAGGGTGATGTAATGATGCTATGGAGTAGTTTTGGCTTCAAGGGATCTTGTGGTCAAATATTAGAGCAAAGGATTCCTGTCAGGGTGTGAAGTAGCATTTAGCTTTATGGATTAACGTTACAGGTTAAAATAGGACAAGGGCCTCACATGACTGCTTTAAATCAGCTTTATGGTGGGATTAACATTACCTGAACATTCTTACCTCTGCAAAATCATCACCTTCTGCTGTCCACGCTCCTTTGCCCTCCCACAAATCTCACATCTCTGTTGGCCAGGCTTCTCCTGACTTCCCCATATCAGTCATCTTCTTAGGGGAAGTTTAGAGAACCAGCATGGAGAAGGAGAGAAACGTCTGTAGGAACACCCTGCACAATGGGCCCAGCAGTTCTACAACACCACAGAAACAGGCCTGAAGGATGAGTTTAGGCAAAAGCTGATACCTCTGACATGACAACACCTATTCAAGACCTCTTCCTCTATGGGGCCTACCGGGTACTTAGAAAGAGGGAATCTCACAAACTGTGTGCAGAGCAGGTGCATCTGCTGTCCTGTCATGGAGACCAGCAGATGTGAGCCTAAAGGCACAGATCCCAGCCAGGAGTCAAGGGTTGAGCTGTTGGCTACTTCAGAAAGAAGTCAACTCCCAGCCACTTAACAGCCATCAGCTTCCTACTGGACTTAGATCTTCTGAGGCACCTCTGCCCTCATAATACCAGACCTACAAAACACTCCCTTTTTGGGCCAGGACCTGCCCAGCTAGAAGTGAGCTGGTTTTCGTCCTTCAAGCCTGCTGGGCTCCCAGACTCTCTGACACTCAGGAGCCAGTTTCGTGCCAGTCCTGGGAGGTGCTAGGGCAGGAGGGACCTTGCAGGCAATGTTCCAGCCCCATGCCTGTTGGCGGTCTCTCAGCTCCTTGTGCACAGTGAAGATCACACTCACATCCAGAAGCCTGAAGTTGGCTTAGAAGACACTCAGGGGAAGAGCCCTCCAAGCCCCAGCCCCAGCCCGAACCCCAGCTGGCGGTGCTGCTCTGCAGAGCGAGGGGGCTGTGGTGCCCGGGGCATGGGGGCACTCTGCAGGGCCGTGCTGGGCAGGCTGGGAGGCAGACCCAGCTCCTGGGGTCACTGCCATTGCCCCAGAGCTGCAAGGAATCACTCGCCAGGCTCCTTTGGTGGGGCTTTTGTGTGCCCTGGGGCTGCTGAGTTCTCCCCTGCCTGCTCACACCAGAGTGAGCACTTGAGCTCTGCTCAGTCCACCTTGGACAGGCTCACGCCCTGCGGGCTCCATTCACTGCTGTTCCCTGGGGTCACAAATCCCCATCAAAGGAGTCTTGCGAGAGATCTGTTGCAGCCCTGGGGCAATGGCAGTGACATTTCCTTGTTTCTCACATCCTTCTCACAAGTTTTTCTCCTGGCCCTCCCCACTGCCCAGCACTGCCTCTCAGGTGGCACTCGGTGACCCTTCAGAAGGGCTTTTGGGCTTCCTCAATTGTCCTGGTGCTTATTAGCACCTTCCTGGCTCCTTCCCGAGCTTAGAGGGAGACTTCTTGTCCATCAGGGGCACTGCACTGGTTCTGGCTTGGACAAAGTTACTGTCTGAAGACCACCCCCTGTGGTGCTGTGTTTCTGATATGTGACCAGAGCACTGTTGGTCACCCATGGTTCTGATCGCTGTTCCTGAGCAGTGCTGGCACAGCGTCAAGGCCTTCTCTGCTTCTCACTCTGCCCCAGGAGTCAGTTGGCTGCAGGTGGGCAAGAGGCTGTGAGGAGAACCTGCAGTGACAGCTGACCCAGCCTGAGCAGTCTGAGCTGCCCAGGCACTCCTCAGATTCACCTTGTTTGTTACCTGAAACGACCTTGCACAGCCATTTTATGGGGTTCTAATCACTACCCACTGATCACCTTGTCCCTGGAGATCCTCTGACATCTCCTGGAAGCTCCATATTCCTCTCCAGGCCGGCATCAGCCATCAGCCCCACTGCAGAGGGTGCAGTCTCATGCTGGTGAGTCCAACACCAGTTCTCATCTGCTTGGACAAGTGCCCCCATAAAGGGAACTCTTAGTCCTGCCCTCGTTTCCCTACAAACCACCCTGGGACTTTCATCCTGTGGTCTTCACTCCCTGAAGATCCCCAGAAAACAGAAGAGCAGGGAGCAACCCCTTGGCTCTATTCCCGATAGCACATTTGGAAGAGGTGTCCAGGCTTCTGGGTTTGCCCTGAGCAAGACCCTTTTATTACTGTGGTGCTAGCAGGGAGGCCACCTGTGATCCAGGGCTGCACAGTGCCTGCTGCTGCCTGCAGCGATTGGGATGCCACTGCAAAGAGAACAGGACTGTCACCAAGGTACATGAGATCTGACAGCTTATCCAAATAAAACAGCACAGTAGAAAAATGTGGAGACCTAAAGAGAGCAGCAGTGAAAAGGCCACGTCCTGCTGCTGGCCATGGCCATGGCTCCAGGGAAGCAGCAGCCCCGACCCGAAGGCAGCAGAGAGGCAGAGCCCAGCGGGCAGGGAGGGGCAGCCCCGAGGGCCGCCGGGGCTGCTCCTGCATGTGGCAGCTGGGCTCTTGACCCCGAGCCCCTCCTGCGTGCTGGGGCTGCTCCCCCAGCTCCAGAGGAGATGGGAAGAGATGGCAGCTGACACCCACAAAGTTCACAGCTTCTTTATTCTATTTATCCACAGAGAACCCAGTTCTGTAGGTATATTAAATGATTGGGTGACAGATAATAATTAATCGGCAGGATGACACAAATAGAATTCAGTCAAAATGACAAGTTTAAGAAATAATTTTAAAAATAATAGAAGAATTAAAAGCTGTTGTATGCAGAGGTTTTTCAGAAAACCTGTCCGTCCTGTTCGTTTTATAGGCACATTATTGATGCCAAAGTAACATGTGTCCAAAGAGTTTCCACAAGGCTTCCTTGAGCTCCTGGTTCCTCATGCTGTAGATGAGGGGGTTCAGTGCTATAGGCACCACCATGTACAGAACTGTCACGGAATATTCTCTGCAGGGGCTACTTGCACTGCTGCAGCTCCTTTCTCTGACCCAGCCACAGGAGCCGGAGCAGCTGCAGAAGCAGGAGCTGGAGCGGCTGCAGGGTCCATCGTAGGGGTCGGAGTGGCCGTTGGGTCTGTCACAGGACTTGGAGTGGCTGCAGGGTCTGTCACTAAGTTGGTAGTAGTATCAGCTGCAGCTCGATAGGCATGAGCCACGCCCCAGCACACTCCAGTGATTTGTGTCACTTTGGAACTGACAGAGTCATGACACCCTTTTTTCAAGCATTCTACCCATATTTTAGGATTTTGCAGTTGTTCAGGGGAGAATTTCCAAAACACTGCTCTAGAAACCTGCCCGTATCCTCCCACACTCCCTGCCACTCACAAGTGTCCCGCCTCAGGACAGATCTCTGGATAAAATTCCTAAGTGGTTGTTTAACCTTAAACAAAACCTGAAGCACATTCAGGAGACATAACAACATGAACATGCTAGTCTGGGTGTCCCAAGGATATTCTTGGGAACATCTTGGAGAACTATCGTACCAAGCTTGGAGGATAAGAGGGAGGTGAAGGAGAAAGGAAGGTTGAATGAGTAGGAAAAAATGTCTCCTTCTTTCCCCTCCACAGATTGGTTCCCTGACAAAAAAAAATTAAAAAAAAATAAAGGCAATAGGTGTAATTGCTAATAGTTTCTGAGATATGGTTTCCAAAGTATAGAGTCGATGAAAGTGCTGAGTACAAATACCAGGTTAGGGTCATGACCAGAAATTTCATCGTCTCATAAGCCACTGTTACACCTCACAATACCATAACAATCTTAAACCAGGGCCCGGAAAGGATAAACAGCATGACAGGGAACACATACAAAAAGTAACGTGTTATAAAACTCAGTTTGGAAAACAGGTGCAGCAGACTTGATATTAAAGCAATCAGCATTGTGACTAGCAACTATTAAGGAGGTCTAATAGTTATACCAATTTTAGTTTAACACACTCTGGTGAGATCTGTCGTTATCTCAACCCTTCGTGCCCCATGTTGGTTGCTAAAAAGGATCGTTGTGGTTTAACCCGGCCGGCAGCTAAATACCACACAACCATTAGCTCTAATTAGCTGTAAGCACTGCTCTGCAACAAGTAAAACATCAGCATGTCATCAGCACTCTTCTCATCCTAAGCCAAAACATAACACCCTACCAGCTACTAGGAGGAAAATTAACACTATCCGAGCTGAAACAAGGACAAATGCTATACCTAGAGGTCATATATTGCCTGATATTAACTTGAGGTAAACTACAAAAGTGAGATAGCCAAATTATTGCTAAGTAAATATTACCACTAGAATCAGTTTCTTCAGTGTGGCTTTCAGCTCCTGATTCCTCATGCTATAGATGAGCGGGTTCACGGCTGGAGGCAGCACTGAGTACAGAAATGAAACCATCAGGTCCAAGGAAGAAGAGGAGATTGAGGGGGGCTTCAAGTAGGCAAGTATGGCAGTGCTGACAAAGAGGGAGACCAGGGCCAGGTGAGGGAGGCACGTGGAAAAGGCTTTGTGCCGGCCCTGCTCAGAAGGCATCCTCAGCACTGCCCTGAGGATCTGCACATAGGAAAGCACAATGAAAACAAAACAAACTAATGCTAAACATGCACTAACCACCAGAAGTCCAACTTCCTTTAGGTAGTCTGAACCTGAACAAGAGAGCTTGAGGATGTGGGGGATCTCACAGAAGAACTGGTCCACAGCATTGCCGTGGCAGAGGGGCAGGGAAAATGTATTAGTAGTCTGCAGAAGAGCATCAAGAAAGCCACTGCCCCAGGCAGCTGCTGCCATCTGGGCACAAGCTCTGCTGCCCAGGAGGCTCCCGTAGTGCAAGGGCTTGCAGATGGCAACGTAGCGGTCGTACGCCATGATGGTGAGAAGAAAATATTCTGCTGATATAAAGAACAGAAAGAAAAAGACCTGTGCAGCACAGCCTTGATAGGAGATGGCCCTGGTATTCCAGAGGAAATTGGCCATGGCTTTGGGCAGAATGGTGGAGATGCAGCCCAGGTCAAGGAGGGCGAGGTTGAGGAGGAAGAAGTACATGGGGGTGTGGAGGCGGTGGTCGCAAGCTACGGCGCTGAGGATGAGGCCGTTGCCCAGGAGGGCAGCCAGGTAGATGCCCAGGAAGAGCGCGAAGTGCAGGAGCTGCAGCTCGCGTGTGTCTGTGAATGCCAGCAGGAGGAACTCACTCACAGAGCTGCTGTTGGGCATCTGTTATTTCTGTGAAGTGGTCCTGCACAAAGAGAAAGAATAGTAATAATGTACAGCAGACATATCAGAGGAAAATTCAATTGTTTAAAACCGTCAAACAGATTTTCCACTTGCAGGCAGTTATTTTGAAGTTCCCTTTAATGACTTCCCGCTGATACTGAGTCTCTCTGGGAGAAGAGTGTTCTTCTGTGGGCAATGGAAGAATCAGTCCTGCACTACAGCTCAAGGTAGCAACATGGTAGGAACATGGGGCAGTCTCAGATTCACTTCAGTTCATATCAGATTTCCCCAGTTTTGCTCAAAGTTCATCACAGAGCAGACACATGGAGATTTATGTCTTTATTTGTTTATTTATTTTTTTTGATTTGTACTCTTTGTTCAGCTGCTCCACCACATCTGAGGAGTCCTAAGGCATAAATCCTGGGCATTCAGCTGCACTCCAAGTGAAACCTTGTAGATCTTCAGAGTCACAGATACTGCATTTTAGAGCAGAGTGCCCTTCAGAGAGGAGAGCCAGTCAATCCATCAGTTCTGGTCTCAGCTGCCCTGTGTTGGCCGGTCTTTGAGCTACAGGACAATTCTCCTCCTATGTTCCTGGAGCACAAGGATCATCAGATCCCACCCCTGAATCTGTACATGACCACCCAAAAATCAGTCCATATGCCTGAGGGGGTTGTCCAAATGTTTGAATTCTGACAGCCTCAGTGCTGTGACCACTTCCCTGTGATGCCTGTTCCAGTGCCTACAGAATCTGGACACTGCTGAGTTTTTCTAAAACAGAAATCCTGGGCATTCCCTTGCACTTGAAGGGAAACTTTGTGTCTGCTCAGAGAAAAAGGGACTGTCCCTACAGTGCAGAGTGTCCTTTAGTGAGGACAGACAATCTGTCCATCAGTGCTGGTCTCAGCCACCGTGTGAGTGTTGCAGGAAAGTTGTACTCAGACATTGATCTGAGAAGAACCTGGACACTGCTGAGAGCAGAGGAATCCAGGCACAAACTGCACATCTCCACACCCCTCACCCTGTCCCCATACTCCACGTCCCACAAGCACACCGAAGGCTCACTCCATGGGCATCAAAACCCCCATCCCCAGCCAGCCTGGGAACAAGACCAGCAGCAGCACGGCCAGCTGGAGAAGCCAGGAGGAATGCCAGCGTGCTGCTGCCAGGGGAGGCAAGGCCAGGGAGGGACAGACGGACACTCAGCAGACCCTCCTGTGCTGCAGCTCTGCCTGCAGACGAGGCAGCTCCTGCTTGTTGCAAATGATCTGTGATCATCTCAAACTGTCAGAGACCTCCCAAAGACAGAGCACTGGTCATTGGAGGGTTTGCAGCTTCTAATGATCAGCTAGGATAAAACCTGAGAGGACCACAATGATGATGTTGGTGGAGTCTGTGGGCTGAGGTGTGGGAAGGGACTTCATGAAGTTCATTGATGAAATATCGATCCCTCACTTCAATACTCTAGCAGTCTCAGTCTGCAGTACAAACCTGACCACCTATTACCATGAAACCAGCCTCCACTCTACCACAGGTATCTGCAAGCACAAGCTACAGTAAAAGTCTTGTCTTTCAGGTAGCCCCTGCCTTGGTCTTCCTTTTGAAAAATCCAGTCATATATACCATTCTTTAAAATATCTTCTACTCCTACCTGGAGAAACAGAGAGACCAACCCTGACAGATGCTACCAGCTGTCGGATGTGCCATCTGCGGAAGACCCCTTTGGCAACCCCACCTGCACTGCCCTGCTGCCAGAGCCTCACGGTGCCAAGAGCCTGCAGATGTGTCCTGCCACACGCTGCCCTCTGTTGTTGCGCTCCTCAGTGCCTCCAAGCCCTCTCCCCTTCTCTCTCCTCTCTGTGTGCCAGCTGCGGTCAGAGCCCCCAGCCCTGCTGCGCTGTGCAGAGGAGCTGCTCCTGGGCACAGCTGGCTCTCTGCACCAGGGCCCCCTTGCCACGAGCTCTCTCTGTCCCACGAGCCCGGCCCAGCTCAGCAGCACAGCACCCGACCATGGCATCGCTTGCTCTGTGCCTTTGGGCTCCCTTGAGGTGTCCCCAAGGCCTCAGGGCTGACAGCTCCCGAAGGCAGCAGGGTCTCTGCTGGGGTGTGGTGGTTGAAGCAGACTGAAGGCATCACCAACTGCTTCTCTCTGTAGATGTCAGAGACTGATTTTTTAAAGTGTGATTTGTGCTTTTGGACTGTGGTTGTCAAACATGAGTACAAATGTTTCCCTCCCTTAACCCCTATTCTGTTCCCACTGCATGGCAGGACACCTCAGCCACGACTGCCAGGGATCATTTCACCCCTCTGAATGTGTCCTAACAAGAGAGGGGGAACTGAATGCTCTAAAAGGTTTTCCAAGAAGGGAATTGGACACTAAGACACCATTTGTTGAGTTTTCCCAGTAATCCACATGTAAGATCCTCCACCCATACACAAATCTCTTCTTCCTCTCTCACATGACCAGCATGGAGACTTGGATGTGGAACACACTCAACACTGTGCTGATGCCTGGAACCTGCAGATGCCGTGCTTCCTTCTGGGGACCATGTCCTACGGTCAGCCCTGGGCTGTATGCCATCCCTGTTCTCTGCAAGGCTCGAGAAGTGGAAGGTCTGACTCCAGAAGGCAGCTGTACCTGAACCAGGGGAATTTCTCTAAGGAACAGGAATTATATCTTCTCCTCCCAGCAATCCTTCTGTGGCCCCAGTGTCATAGATATCTTCTGTGGTTTTGTCCCATTGCTGGAGCTGTCCTGCAGTGCCAAGGTGATACTCACAGTCTTTGATTTCATAATCTAGATTTTTGGATCCAATCTTCCTCTTCACTCTCATGCAGTTTTCAGGTGTGTGTGTGTCCTGTATTGGCAGGCCAAGGCCTTATCCACCTGCTCTTCCGTCCTCATGAGTGTCACTGTTTTCTATGATACCATTTCTATGATATCATTAACTAATTGAACAAAGAGTCACTCTCCATCTTTTTATAAGCTCCCTTTAAGTACTGAAAGTCCACAAAGAGGTCACCCCGGAGCCTTCTTTTCTCCAGGCTGAACAGCCTCAGCTCTCTCAGCCTTTCTTCATAGGAGACATGCTCCAGCCCCTTGATCATCTTTGTGGCCCTCCTCTGGACTTGTTCTAACAGATGCACACCCTTCTCATGCTGGGGGCACAAGTCCTGGATGCAGGACTCCAAGTGGGACCTCACAAGGGCAGAGTACAAGGAGTAGAAGTAGAAGTGATCTCCCTCTACCTGCTGGTCACTCCTCTGCTTATGGAGCCCAGGATGCAGTTGGCCTTCTGGGTTACAAGCGCAGAATGTACTCTCATTGTCAATCTCACTGTCTGTCACAGATAAAGATATTATACAGCACCAGTCCCAGGACAGACTCCTGAGGTACAACACTTGTCACCAGCCTCCACTTGGACATAGAGCCATTGACCACCACTCTCTGGGTGTGACCTTTAGGAAAACTCCTTACCCACTGAATTGTGCACTCATCAAATGCGTATCTCTCCAATTTGGAGACAAAGATGTCATATGGGACAGTGTCAATGGTCTTACAGAAGTCCAAGTAGATGACATAGGTCGGTCTTCTCTTGTTGTCTGATTTGGTCACTCCATTGTAGAAAGCCATCACATTGGTCAGGCACAATTTACCCTTTGGAGAAGCCATGCTGGCTGTCTGAGATCACCTCTTTGTCTTGCAGGGGCCTTGACATCGATTCCAGGAGGATCATTTCCATGATCTTGCCAGCCACAGAGGTGAGGCTCACTATTCGGTAGTTCCATGGATTCTCCTTTCTACCCTTTTTAAAAACGGGAGTGATGTTTCCTTTTTCCAGTCAGCAGGGACTTCACCTGACTGTCAGGACTCTTCAAATATGATGGAGAGAGGCTTGCCAACTGCATCAGGCAGTTCCCTCAGGACCCTGGGATGCAAGTCAGCAAGCCCCATAGACTTGTACTTGTTGAGTTCCATCAGGTTGTCTCAAACCTCCTCTTCACTTAGAGCAGGAGGGACTTTGCCCCCCAGCCTCTATCTATGGCTTCAGGGAATGAAAGACTTGGGAAGCCTGACTGGCAGGAAGACTGAGGCAAAGATGTTGTTGAGTCCCTCAGGCTTCTCCATGTCTGTCATTACCAGTTCACCCTTCTTATCCATCAGAGGGGGTACACTCTCCTTGGCCTTACTTTTCTGAGCAATATACCTATAGGATCTCTTCCTATTATTCCTTGCATCCCTTGAAAAGAACAGTTCCATCCATGCCTTGGCTTTCCTTATCCCATCCCTGCACATATGAAACTGAAACATGTGAGAGGTCCTGGGAAAAGTAAGCCCGGATGCACAGAAACCACTTGGGAAAAAAAAAAAACTTTGTAGGAAGCATGATTTTGTGGAAGTGCAGAGCTGATGGGCACATTGTGCAGGATGCTGCTAAAGACCTTTGTGTCCTTTTCTCTCCTGAGTACAATGCGACTTCCTTCTCAGGAATGGAGGAGCCAACAGAGGTGAGACAGATACTCTGCGATCATGGATGTCATCAGAGAGCTGATTCCAGGAAGATACGCAGAGGTCAGGAGCAGCCTGAACAAGAGACATGTGAGATTTTGGGGTGGGAAGAGGAGCATGGCCAGCAGAAATTAGTGGTTTCATAGAGGTAAAAGCATTCCTGCAATGCCCATACTGCAGTAACAATGACTTAAAAAAGTCACATATGGCCCTTACCTAACTGGAAACAGTAATTTTAATCCCTAAACCTAAATGCTACTACAACACTCTGAAAGGAATCAATTTTCTCTCTTGATAACCATAATCCCTTCCCTTAAAACTAACATTAAAATGCTCTATTTAACCCTAGACTCCCTGGAAGACGTAAAACACCTGTAAACCACAGAGCTTGTCCATACCTGAAACACAGACATGACAGCACAAGCAGAACACCAAACAATCCCACTAAAACTTTGCTTACTCTAACCCAGAAAGTGAAAAAGAGATACCA